TTAGCATATTACATGTTGTTGTGCTAGTACCACACTGTTTTGATTACCATGGCATGAAGTAGGTTTTGATATTAGGAAGTAAAGTAGGTCTCCTACTTTTTTCTTCTTTAGTAGTGCTTTTCTCATGTAGATTCTCTGTCTTTCCATATAAAGTTAGCAATTTTCTATTTATTTGAAGAACGATGATGGGATCTGAATTCGAGCTGCATTATATCTGTCGGTCACTTTTTGAAATACGTTTCTTCCCCATAATATTAAATCTTCCTAAGTATTTCGTCTTGTGTGTGGCTATTGTAAACAGCATTGTTTCCCTTATTTTCTTTTCAGAATTCTTTGTTACACTAGAGGAATCTAATTTTTGTATGTTGATCTTGCACCTTGCTACTTTACTACTCAGTTAGATCCAATTAGAATCATATCATCTCCTGAAAGAAACCCTAACTGCCACCCAAGCAGATATATGCACACCCATGTTTATTGCGGCTTTGTTTGTAATCACAATTGTCTGATCAACATTTCACTTTTAACAAGATATTTTCAGTAAGGATTTGAGGAATTCTGGTAGGTTAATAATGTGCTTTTTTTGTTTACAATTTCTTCCTTTTTATTTCATTAATAATTAGATTTTAAATTTTGTTCACACTCAAATTAAGAGCCAAATAATTGATTCCAGCTAATGACTCTTCTGTGGGTTTCTAAGTCCATAAATCTTAACAGAGGGTGGCTGTCTTTCTCCCAGGGTAGATCTGATCCACCTTAGAGGCAGCCTTTTCATTAGCAACAAAACAGACTATAAACTATGGCAGCAGAACTTCAATTTAAATTTTGTTAGATGCTTCTCAAGTAAGATCCCATATTTCCCCCCTTTGTTCTATCAGTGTAACAATAGTAGAATAATTCATTTATTTAAGCATCTGCTTTTATTGTGATGTCAGTGAAAGTTTACAAAGCAAATAAGGGTTTTCTTCAACCATTCATATACATTTTGCTCTATAATTGGTGGTGGTGTACCTATCAACTACAACTCCTAGCAACCCTGTGAACAACAGAGCCTTATTCTGTACAGTCCTCATCTGATATACTTCAGCCCATTGTTATAGGCTCTGTGTCTGTCTATCTCCTTGAGAGTCTTCCTCTCTTGCTGACCTCTCCAAGCATAATGTTCCAAGGACTAGCCCCTCCTAACAACGTGTCCAGAGTATATGGGGCAAAGTTTCAGCATCCTTGCCTCTAAGGAGCACCAGGTTGAACTTTTTCCAGGATTTATTTGTTCTTTTAGCAGTTCATGGGCTATTCAGTACTCTTCTCCAACACCACAATTCAAAGGCATCGATTCATCTTCTGTTATCCTTTGTCACTGTCCAACTTTCAGATGCATAGCAAGTAATTGAAAAGCCTATGGCTTGAATAAGGTGCACCTTACTCTTTAAACTGACATCATTGTTCCTTAGCACTTTGGAAAGGTCTTTGACATTTTCCCAGTGCAACACTTAATTTGATTTGTTGACTGCTGCTACCAAGGGTGTTGACTTTGGCTTCAAGTAAAATTAAATTATTGACAATTTCAATCTTCACTCCATCTATCACAATGTTGTCTGCTGGCCCAGTGGTAAGGACTTCCATTTTCTTGACATTAAGATGTAATCCATATTGAAGATTATAGTCTTTGATCTTCTGCAGCAAACATTTAAGTCCTTGTTTTCAGCAAGCAGTGTTGTGGAAATTATCAAAAAAGGTCACATGCAAGTAAAATATTACTGAAGATTATAAAAAAACCAAACAAAAAACAAACCCAACAAAACAGCTAGAACAGTATATGAAAGAGAACTAACAGAAATTCAAGCTGAATTTAGAAGAGGCCCTGGCACCAGGGATATCATTGCTGACGTCAGATGAATGCTGGCTGAAAACAGAGAATATCAGAGGAATGTCTTGTCTGTGTTTCATTAACTACACAAAAGCATTTGATTGTGTGAATCATAACAGACTATAGCAAATAAGAATTCCAGAACACTTATTTGTGCTTGTGTGAAATTTATGCCTACTTCTAATCTATAAGAAGCTGTTGTGCAAATAAAGCAAGGAAACACTGCATAGTTTAAAGTCAATAAAAGTGTGAAAAAAATAGAAGAGTGTTCATCAGGGCTACATCCTTTTCCTCTACTTATTTAATTAATATATGCTGAGCAAATCATTCAAGAAGCTAGACTTTATGAAGAAGAATGTGGCGTCAGGATCAGAAGACTCAGAATCAAAACTTGAGTTATGCAGATGACAAATAGGTTGTTAGGTGCCGTTGACTCGAATATGACTCATCACGACTCTATGAACAATGGATCTGAAACTTGTCCTATCTTGTGCCATCCTCACAATCTCTGACACACTCAAGCCCCACTGCTGCAGTCACTGTGCAGATCTACCTGGTTGGTATTCATATTGTGTTCCATACAATCATTCCCATTATGTTTTATAAAATTAATCACCATTGAACTATGTCTTCTCAAAATACTCCTAATTGCTTTCTCTTTTATTCAAAAGAGTACAAAGCTCTTTAGTGCTCTACGAGTGTCTATTTTATCTGGATCCCAGTCACCTCTCTGACCTTACTCTTCACCTTCAACCATCTCTCTAGCTACACTGTTTCCTTGATTATTTGTTGAACATCAGTACAGGGCTACTCACTGTACTTCCACTTTCATCTGCCTGGAATCCTGTTATCCCAGACATCACGTGGCCTGTTTCCACACCTTATTCAGATCTCTGTTTAAATGTCAGCTCTCTAAAGAATGTGGTCACTTTTCTTTTTCATATTTGTTTAGATGATTGTGTGTCTTCCCTCTTTAGAATGTAGCTTCTGAGGGAGCAAGCACTGGATCTGTGTTACTCAATGTTGTGTCCCTGGAATATAGTACATAACTGGTACATATTGTTGTTGTTAGTTTCCATCAAGTACAAACAACAGACCTGACCTGTTCTGTGCCATCCTCATTATTTCTGACTTAGATAGCAGTCATTGTGTCACTCCGTCTGGTTGAGGGTCTTTCTCTTCTTTAGCAGACCCTTCACCTTTCAAGCATGACATTCCCTCCTCCAGAGAATAGCTTCTATAACCTAACTTATGTGAGATGAAGCTTTATCATCCTTACCTCCAAGGAGCACTCTGACTATACCTTCTCTAAGACATACCTGTTTGTTCTTTTGGCAGTCCATGGGATAGTCAGTACTCTTCTCCACCACAGCTAAAAGACACACAATGTTATTGTATGTACCGTAGAGCTAGAACTGAACCCTCTAATGGGTTTTCAGAAGACAGTTTAATGGCATGAGAGGAGATTACCCATCTTTCTCCCTCAGAGCAGCTGATGAATTCGAACTGTGAAAAGCACATCTTAGGCATCAATAAATATTTGAATGAATTGCATGTGGCACCTACTTAGTATTCCAAAGTGTATAATTAGGACATTTAACATAGCCAGTTTCCTAGCTGAGGACATTTAGGTTATCACTAACTTCTTGCTATTGCAAAAAAAAAAAAATTCTGGGGAGTACTTTCTTACCAGTGTTCCCTTACAGATGTATTAGCCTTGGTTCCTGCTTCCAAATGAATCAGCCCAGTTAGTCCACAATTAACTGTAAACTCTGAGCAAAATATAAACAAAAAAACTTTTGGAAGGTTCTGGAAAGTAACTTAAAGCAGGATTTCCCATGTGTACCCCAGCCCCAGCTCCAGAGCAGAAAATCACTTTACTGGCTCAAAGTAGCAGAGTTCAGGGCTGGCAGAACAACTGGAAACTGTGGAGGGGAAATCCCGGAAGTAAGAGTGGCCCTTGGAGAGAAGATAGACTTCTCACTAGAAAAATTCCAAAGTTTTGGAGGTTAGATCTCAGGACCCAAGGCCAAAGGCCACCTTTTTTTACCCTCACACCATATGAGCTACATGAAGCGCTCTAACATGTCTCCCTCTTCTTTATAGCACTTAAAAATATTAAAGTTATTTACATGCTGACCTTTTGTTGCCTGTCTCCTACATAAAAACAACCTCACTTGTTCTAGGAGAAATACCTGGCTCAGAGTTGCTCAGTAGAGAATTGCTGAATCAACATAGGACCTCGTATTATGTGTTCGTGGCTCACTCAAAGACTAGGGAAGGGATGACTGGTAGGGATGATTTGGCCTGTTGGGGGGGGTGTGTGTTGTTTTGTTCTCCCTACAGAAACTCACTTGTAGATTTAGTGCTGAGACCACAGTGTAGATTTGGAGACAAGGATTAAAGATTCTCAGCATTGACCACAGTCGGGTCAGCCTCTCTTGGATATGTGACAAACATCAGCATCCTCTTCCTTCAGCGTGCCCACTCTTCCCTCTTCCTATTTGCCAGGCATGCACTTTCTTTTCCTTCCACTCTCATGTGTACACCCTCAGTGTGTCCACGGTGGGTTCTCCATCTACTAGGTGTAGAGACCCTACCTTTTTTAAAAAATAAAATTTTTATTTTATACTTTGATTCAGTGACTGGGTTAATTGGGATGAGAGTGTCAGAGACAGTGCGATTGACACAGGACAGAGCAGAGTTTAGGGCTGTTGTACATAGAGTCGCTATGAGTCGCAAGCGACTCGACGGCACATAGCAACACAACAACAACAACTTGTTTTCTTTTAAAGTTCATATACATTGCTTATCACACTGACCTTTCCCTTTACCCACCCTTCCCTCCACCCATTAAATTGTGTGACCCTATGATTACCCTCCTGCCCATCCTCACCCCTCTGCTTCTACCCTCCCCTGCTTGGATCCTCATACACATTCTACAATAATGATCTTATACAGTATTTGTCCTTATGGGACTGAGTTAGTTCACTTAGCATGATGCTTTCCAGTCCCTCCCAAGTTAGAATGTCCAGTTACAATGGAATGAATTGAGAAATTACAGACACTCCCTTTGATTGAAAAGCATGTACATCTTTTCCAGAATCAATCCAACTTTATTTTGGTGGAGGGCTCAGGACAGGGGTGGGCTGCACACATGAACTCTCCTTTGGACACAAATGGCAGGGCTGAGCTTGGTGGGCAGGGGCAGGTGCATCAGAATGTTCCTGCTGTGTAGCCTTGTGCTGCCAACAGGCCCTACTAAGTACACAGGGCAAGAGTACACAGCCAGGCCCCCTGAAGGGGACCGGTCAGTGGAGCCCCAGGCTTGTGTACTGACGCTGACCGGAGGCAGAGGGCTAGGCTGACTGGAGGCACTGTCCCGCACAGCCCCAGCTATGGGGTCCCACTCTGCATTCAGGAGCTGTAGCCCTATCAGCAGCAGCCCCATCTCTGGAATGATGGGATTTGGGTCATTCTCCACCTGGAAGCACAAGAAACTGGTCAAAACTGGAGATCCTGGTGGAGTACGATGTGAGAACGGGTTGGGGTCAAAGGGGCAAGATCACAAAGAGGCTCAATGAGAAGACTGTCAGGGAGGTCAAAGGCCTTGAGGAACAGAGTGGACACAAAGGAGCGAGGCGCTTACCCTGAGATGCAGTGGGTGGCTGTGCAGCTCCTGACTTTTATGCAGCCAGTGACCGAAGTGGAAGCCGGCACCTTGGCTACCGGTGAGATTCGAGATGGGCGGATGCTGGCTCAGGACAGCTTCCCATCGCAGTGCCAGCAGCAGGCGGCGCGGGTGGCAGAAGGCTGACAGGTGGAAGACGCGCCCCTGTATTTCGGAGCCTGTTCCCACGCCCAGGTAGCTCATTAACAGCTGCCCACGGCGCGACAGTTGTTGTAGCCAGTGCCAGGGTGGTTGAGGCCCGGCGGGAGCATAGGGTCGCCAAGGTGGGGGTAGGCGGCCAGCCCAGAGAGCTTGGGCCACTGCGGTGCAGCGTCGGGAGGCACACGGGGGCGCGCCCTTCAGCTGCTGCAACAGGCAGTCGAGGTCACACTGCAGTGAAGTCACCAGCTCGCTCAGCTCCAACACCTCTACCTCCAGGAAGCCCTCCAGAGGTCGCCGAGCGTGGGGCCCCAGCACAGCCCCCCGGGCGTCCAGCTCTTCCTGCTGAATGCTTGTGGCCAACAGGGACTGCAGTGACTCCAGTCTCTGTGTGGCTTGCACTAAGCGTTGTCGCAGTCTCTGTTCCTTGTGCTGCGCTCCTGCATGAACTCCAGGAACCCAAGCGGGTAAAATCTTCTGTAGTGCACTCAGGAGAACACGACTTTGGCGTCGCAGCAGCCAGGCCTGCGTGCCCACACTTAGTCCACAGACCCGGGGTTCGGGTGGTTTGGACAGTAGCTGTATCTGGGCCTTGAACTCTGCCATAGCGTCCGGCTCTTCTAGTTCTTGAGAGTGGAGGTGAGAAGAGGCAGGCTACCTCACCCCCGTGAAGCAGACCTACTGGCCCTTTACACCATCACTTTCCTCAGTGAATATTCCCACCTCATACACCTTTGTCGATACTGCTGTCTAGATACATGTGGGTAGGATTACATTGCACTCCTCCCTCACCCTAAACACAAATAGTGAATTGTGGCTTACCTAGGCTGGGCTTCAGAGTGGCCAACAGTTGCTGGGGTGTTTGTGGATAGGTCCAGCTCCCACTAGTAGGGCTCAGGCAGGCTCCAGTGAGGCTAATCAAGGTCTCCCTGTCCTCAGTGTCTCTCACAGGACCCCCGTAAAAAACCGAAGCTGACGACGAGGTCAGACCCTCAGAACCAGTTCATCCCCTCCAGTTTTCCCCACTCTCAAACAAAAATTGTGGAATTCACCCCAATCTCTCACCCCCACTTCTCTTCTCTCTTAGGGATTGATTGTATGAGGGGATGGTGCATGGGGAAAAGACTTACAGGTCAGCTCCTGCATGGCAGTACTGGGATTGCTGAGGCTGGTCTGCAGCTGGCTCTGGGCCTGAAGGATCCGGGTCAGGGTGCCCTGGCTCCTGGGAAGATGAGCAGGAAGTAGATTTCCAGTACCATCCATGTGCCAAGGCCTATCAAATCCTTACCTGAGCTCCCCAGTCATGAGGGCTCACTTCAAATACAACTTGCTTTTAAACTGAAATAATTTTCCACACAAAGTATGTTCCACTTCATATCCCACTTACTGGTACCCATCCAGCTAAGACATCCAGCTAGTCTAAGACATCAAGAACCTATCCTTGACTACTTTCTCTTTCCTTTCTCGCTGGCCTCCCCATTAAATATCTGTTTTGTGTTTTTACTGTGACTTGTTATGGTAGGTAGCTCTGGGGGCCTTGTAGGCAAGGACTTGCCATATCAACCCTAAGGCAGGAATGAATCTACCAACTGCTCCACAGGAGAACGGCAGTGGTCTCTTGTGTCCTCCAACCATTTACAGAGTCCAAAAACCTAGTGGCTCAGCTCAGAGTTGGTTCCAACTCAACAGCACACAACAACATCCTTTCTGTGACCTGCTGTTGGTTAACTGGATTTTTGCCTCAAGGTGATTCTGACTCACAGTGACCTCACTTGGCAGAGCCAGACTTCACAGAGTTTTCAAGGATGTGACTTTTCCAAAGCTGACTGCCAGGCATGTCTTCTAAGATGCCTGTGTGTGTTCCAATCACTAACCTTCCAGCCAGTAGAGTACTTCGTAGTACAAACCAGCACGAGTGTTCATAACATCAACACCACTATCTCTTCCCTCGGAGATTTCCACAGCCTTCTTGAACTCTCTGCTCTTCCCCAGTCCTACCCACAGTGGTCTATTTACACTACTGTCACAGCAGACAAATAAGATCACATTTCTTCTACTTGAAACCCTTTTCAGCTGTTCCCAGAATAAAATCAAGCCCCTTGCCATGACTAAAACAGCCCTTTATCCCCCAGCATATACACGTCAGCCACACTGAAGTCCTTTCCCTTAAGCTAAGCCTGGTTCTCTCTACTCAGAAAAGCCCCATTCCCACCAGATTTGATTCTACTCTCAAGACAATTCAAAGCTAGATTCCTGAGAAAAGTCACCTTGACTTTCCTTAGTCTTAGGCTTTGGAGCACCTCTCAGGTGAATTTCTCTTACTCCTTCATCCCAGCATATGTAAGATATTCAATAGTCAATGTTTTCTGAGTGACAAATTAACTGACTAAACCCACTCATAGCAACCCCGCAGAACATAGTAGAACTGCTTCGTGGGGTTACCCTCCTGTTGAGTGGTTGGTTGGTGGATTCTAAGTGCTAGCTTTTGGTTAACTGCAGGATGCTTTAAATACAGCATGACCAGAGCTCCTCATTCCCTTCCTAGCACCACCCTACCCATTGCCATTGAGTTGGTTCCATCTTATAGTGACCCTACATCTAGGAGCTATGAGTCCCAAGCGACTCGACAGCGCATAACAACAACAGCACATCTAGGAGACTCCCCATCTTTGTGGGAGGTGATTGCCCTTTTTACTTCCCAGGTGGATTCAAACTGTCCACCTTTTGGTCAATAACTCAGGACATTATGCACCACGCAGCTTGTTTGTTGTTAGGTGCTGTCAAGTTCACTCTGACTCATAGCAACCCTGTGAACAAGCAGTCTGAACCCTGCCTTATCCTGTGCTATCCTCATCATCTCTGGTATACTTGAGTCTATTGCAATAGTCACTATGTCAATCCATCTTGTTAAGGATCTTCCTCTCCTACTGACTCGCATCTTGCCAAACATGTTGTCTTTTGCCAAGGACTGGTCTTTCCTAACAACATATCCAAAGTACGTGAGACAAAATAGGGATCCTAATTAACTTACTCACTCACTTAATTCCACTGAGCTGAATCTGACTCATAGTGACCCTCCATCAGATTTCTGAGGCAGTAAACTGTAATGGGAAGAGACTGATCGTTTTTCTCCTGAGCTGCTGCTTGTGGATTTGAACCTCCAGAGTCGCAGTCTTATGTTGAATAGTGCAGTACACTATACACTACACCACCAGAGCTCTTGGTTGGCTGCCTACTCACCAGCACCCTTTGTGTGCCTGCAGCCTCTGTCCGTAGAGCTGACGGTGGAGGAGGAGGCCATGAAGGAAGAGGAGAGGCAGTGCCTGAGTTTTGGGTGGCATGCAGAGTCCCTGCTGAGCTAGCTCCATGCTATCAATCAAGACGTGGTCCAGCTCCAGGGACTGGTTCCAGAAAACAACCATGGAGTGCTGAGTAAGCACAGCTGAGGAGAAAGGAGAGAGCCGAGTCGGCACAAGCACATTTGTTGGCCTCTTCTCTGTGAGACTGAAAGAAGAAATGCTTTACCTGGCAAGGAATCAATAGCTTCTGCAGACACAATAAGCCAGAGACGGAAATCTCTATGGACAATGGTCACATTCCTGCTTGCAGGTTGAGCTAGAAGTGGTCCCAGCTCCAAGTCAGAGACCACTAAGGGTCAGACATGGGACTGAGATTAGACTTGAAGTGAGTGATCAGATCCAGGTCTTAGGATCAAACTTGAGGCTGGGGTGGGTGTCAGGAGTCAGACATAAAGGCAGAGGTACAGGCTTAGGGCTAGGGAATTGGTCATGGGGAGTGTTCACCCTCAGGTAGAATTCCAGAAACAATGCCTCAGCAGCAGACCCACCCTTAGCTCCATCAAACAAGCCCAGCAAGGGTTGGAGAAGCTCTTTTGGCCAGTGAGACATCAGATGACAGTTATCCAGCACCAGCCAGTGTCCCTTGTGCATAGCTTGGTGTAAGGTGCTGAGCACAACTGGAATTGGGTCCCAAGCTTCACATCCAAGGGCTATCACCTGCACATGTTTCTGCCCCTGGGGATGAACAAACAAATGACAGTGACTAAAAGTGATTCTGGGGTTCAAAAAGGATCTATGAGCATTCTAGTACAGAACGGGCTCCCCACACCCCACTCCAGCCTAGGAGTACTAGGTAACTCCACAGTCAACAGACCAGCTTCTCACCTTCTTGGCAGCTAGTCCCTGGATGACAGTCAGGGGATGCAGGGTGGCTGTGGGGTGGCCAGGCAGTGGACACAAGATCAACATGGGTTGAGTAGCCTGACTGTGCTCATAGGGGATGATGGGGCCACCAAATGTTTCATCCAGGGGCCGTCCCAGGAGGCTGGTGGTGAAATCTGCCAATGTGCCTGCCAGGCACTCAGGTTGAAGCACGCGCCACAGGATCAGCTTCTGCAGGAGGCTGAGGGGATGAGGCCCAGGCCCAGGGGCAGGGCCCAGCACTGTAGATGATAGTGACAGGTAAGTCTGCCAAATTTTAGACTGGCTTGAAAGGGATGCACACAGGCCAGAAAATGGGGGCAGCAGCTCTAACATCTTACATTCATGCCAGGCTTTCAGCCCTAGCCATGATGGGCGGGCATATGCTGAAAAATGCTGGCTGTGTTCTCTGCTGGGAGAGGCTGCCAGGCCAGGCCAGAGTGCCAACCTCTCCAGTTCTGGTGCCTTTCCTGCTGCTTGTAGCATAGCCAAGGCACCCAAGGCACCCAGCAAGGGCACTTGGGTCAAGCCCAGTGCTGCCACAGTGCTGTCCAGCAGCTGGCGGGTCAGCTGTGTTCTCAAATGCAGCAGATGGCTGGCCATGTCCTCACCTGGCTGAGCGTGGCACTTCTTTAAAACCTGCTTGGTGGTCACCAAGCAGTTCTCTAGGCTCAAGTGGAAAAGCGGCAACAGGTTCTGTAGTGAGCTTAGTGCCTGTACCATGGTGATTCCATGCTGGACCACTTGCTGATAGGGTCCCCACGATGTTTTCTCCTGCAGCTTCTGTTCTTCTATCTCTTGACTTTGGGCACGGAGCTGACATAGCTTTGCCTGGGCCCTCACCAAATTCCGTAGGAACTTGTCCTGTTTCTGACACTGTGCGTTCCGGCCCAGCACCATTGTCAGCAGCTTCTCCTGCATAATCACTCATGGCATCAAAGGCTCTGGCTCTTCCCACAAAGTTCCCAGACGTCTGCCCTCATTCCCACCCTATGCCTGGGACCCTCTAATGCTCATCCACCCACAGACTAGGCCCCCAAGCACCTCGAGAGCCTCCATGGCTATGCAAACATCCAGGCTTCTGTTCTTTAGTTCCTGCAGGCGAGTCTCAAGCTCAGGGCACTCTATGCACAAAACTTCATGCAGCATCTGTTCTTCTAGTATGTCCGTGTTCAGGCCCAGATCCAGCACATTCAGCTCTTTCAACAAGTCATAACCTAGCACTAGTGTTACATGAGAAATGCTTAAACGCTTTTCCTTGGCAAAATCAGCAGGTAGGGTGCCCAGGGAGTCCGGTGCCCCACTATGGTCCTGAGCCTGCTGTAGGCTAGGACGAGTGAAACTCTCTGAGAGCTAGTCCTGGGGGCTTCATGTGACCATAAAGCTGTGTTGGCAACCAGCCCACCAGGTTCTCACCTTTATCCAAGGAGCGGAGGGGAAGAGTAGTGCTCAGATAGAGACGGAAGCCGGGCTGCACCTGAGGTGGGCTCAGCTGTTTTTGCTGCAGCAGCCACTGCAATTCTTGGCACTCTAGGCCTAGCTCCATGTTGGTCAGTAGCAGGGGAAAGCCTGTAAGTGATACAGGAACACCCTATCCATCTTGCTAGCACCCAGCTCCCCCTCCAAAAGCCCCATGCTCAAGATCTATCTGTTGAGTGGCTTCTACTAGTTGATAGAAGAAACTCTTCAACATAGTGTCTGGGATGAAGGATGGAAACTGAGGTAGGTTAGGGGTGTGCAAGCCTTGTGAGGTCACAGAATGGGGGGAGGACAAATACAAATAGAGACGTGCTGGGCGGGACCCAGGTCTTACCACTGGCAGCTGCCTCCTGGAGCTGAGGACCCAGCGCTGGGTCCGCCCCTGAAAGCACGCGAAGGCAGGGGAGAGGTGAAGATTGAGACTCAGAGATTGGCTCTTGCTCCTTATTTTCTGTCTCTGCTTTATTTTGTTCTTGTTCTTTCTTTTTCCTTTTTTCTTTATGCCTTTTCCTTTCTTTCTCCTCCTTTTCGTGGGCCTCCTGCTCTTTTGTCTGGTCCTCTGTTTCTTGGCTATCTTCACTATCATCATCTTCCTCCCCTATGTCTTCTTCATACACTTTGTCTTGATTGATTGCAAGGTCATTTTCTGTGGCAGAAGATACAGAAAAACTCTTCTTAGGGAACAAATTGGGCTTCTAGAAAGTAATATTTGCCTAAAACTCATAGCATTTCCCCCACGCATCCGAAGTAAGCCATTTCATGCCCTCTACTTGGTGCACAGCATCATTCCTTCTGTATAGAGTTTTAGTTGTCCATTACCTTTCCTAACTGGATAATAAAATCCTTTACTACTCTAACCATTTGAGCCACCACTCATCTGCCAGTTTGCAATACTGTGGTGGCTTACATGTTGCTGTGATGCAGGAAGCTATGCCAGGGGCATTTCACATAACAGCAGAGTCACCAAGAGCAGTAGTGTGGACAGGTTGCAGTGGGGCTTCCAGACTAAGGCAGACTAAGAAATAGAACTGGCCATCCACTTCTGGAATAACAGGCCTTTGAAAACCATTTGGCTAATGGATGACATTGTTGGATACAGTGCTGGAAGATAAGGTTAGAACGCTGGAACATTAGAACATTAGAAGGCACTCAAAATGCCACCAGGGAAGAGTTGCCTTCTCAGAGTCTACTTAATGACCTGGATGGAGTCAAGATTTCACCCAGTGAAGAAATTTCACTGTGACAAGGTTCAAGATAAAGAGAAACAATGGCTCACATCTATTTATAATTGGCATACAAAATGTATGTAGGGGGAAAATGGAAACTGTCAAAATGAAACAAATACTGAAAGATAAACATTCTAGGCATTAGTGGGTAAAGATGGACTGGTACTGATCATTTTGAATTAAATAATCATATGATCTACTATGCCATGAATAACAAATTGAAGAGGAATGATATAACATTCATTGTCAAAAATAGCATTTTAAGATTTATCCTGTGGTATAGCCACTCTGGAAGGCAATATGGCTCTTTCTCAAAAAGTTGGAAATAGAAATACCATTTGACCCAGCAATTCTACCACGAGGAATATACCCTAAAGAAACCAGAGCTGCTACCCAAACAGATATGTGCCCACTCCTGTTTATTTCTATCCTATCCTGAGCCAGTCTCACTGACTCCGACACACTTAGCTCCATTATCCCAGTTACTGTATTAATCTATCTCATCCAGGGTCTTCCTTTTGTGCACTGACCCTTCACTCTTCCAAGCATGATGTCTTTCTTCAAGGACTGGTCCCTCCTGGAAATATGCCCAATGTATGTGAGACAGAGCTTCAAAATCCTTGCCTCCAAGGAGCAGCATGGTTTCATTCTCTCCAGAACAAACCTGTTTGTTCACTTGGCTGTCCATAGAATGTTCGACACTTTTCTCCAGCACCACAACACAAAGGCAACAATCCTTCTTCCATCATCCCTAGTCATTGTCCAGCTTTATGATGCATAGCAAGTAATTGCAAGGATCATGACCTGGACCAGGTGCACATTAGTCTCCAGACTGACATTATTACTCTTTAGTACTCTTGAAAGGTTCATGACAGAAGATTTTCCCAATGCAGTTTGCCTTTTGATTTCCTGACTACTGGAGCCAAGAATGTTGATTGTGGAGCCAACCAAGTTGAAATGGTTAACAATCTCAATCTCGTCTCCATCAATCATGATTTTGCCAGTTATTCACACTTAAGTTAAAATTAACAAGTCAATGAGAACCAAAAACAATTACCTCAATTCTATCCCAGCTTAATTTAAAAACCATCTCAGAAATAAGTTTGATCCATTGAACACTGGTTGACAGAAAGCCAGATGATTTGTGTGGTATTAAGGACATTAGTCATAAGGAAAGCAAAGACAGAGGAGAACAAAAAGACCAAAATAAATGTCAAACACAGAAACTTGGACTGGAATTAAAGAAAGCTTAAAAAAAGGGAAGCAAAAAAAGGGGAAGCATGCTGAATTGAGAAAGCTGGGTAGAGTATTTCAAAGAGCAACTCTGAAAGATAATGCCAAGTATTATAATGAAATGTGCAAATACCTGGAGATAGAAAAGAAAAAGAAAGAACATGCTCCACATTTCTCAAGCTGAAAGAACTAAAGGACTAATTCAAATCTTGAGTTGCAATATTGAAGGGTGAGTGGCATCCACTTCCTAAACAACATGACTCCAGAAACTCTATGAAGTTTGACAAATGTCGATAGTTACAGAAAGGCTTTCAGACTTTTTGTTCATAGAGTCGCTTTCAGTCGTACTCAACTCGAAGGTAATCAACAACAACAGCAACATGGGCAAAATCAGAAGGCATCAACAGAACATGGAAGGAACACAAAGAGTCACTATATTCAAAAGAATTCATTGACATGGAAGCAATTGAGGTGCTTCAGAAAATAGATGTAGCTTGGATGTGCTTACCAGTCTATTCTAAGAAATTTGGAAGACAGCTGCCTGGCCAACTGACTAGAAGATATCCTTATTTGTTGTCATTCCCAAATAAGGTGATAAACAGATTGTGGAAATTATCAGACAGTATCATGAATATCACATGCAAGTAAAATCTTGCTGAAGATTATTAAAAAACTGTACATCAGCAGATAACTGTCAGAAATTCAAGCTGGATTCAGAAGAGTCCATGACATGAGGGATGTAATTGCTGATGTCAGATGGATCTTGGCTGAAAGCAGAAAATACCAGAGAGGTATTTACTTGTGTTTTATTTACTATTTAAAGGCATTTGATGGTGTAGAGGATAGAAAATCATGGTTAACATTGAGCAAATAGGCATTCCAGAACACTTAAATATACTCATGGGAAACCTATACATAAACCAAGAAGCAGTTGTCTGAACAGAACAAGTGAACACATGTGGTTTATAATTAGAGTTGCATCCTTCCTCCATCCTTATTCAGTTGACATGCTGAACAATTCATTCAAGAAACTGAACTACATGAAAAAGAATGCATTAGGATTGGAGGAAAACTAATCAAAACATGCTTTATGTCAATGACACAGCCTTGCCTGCAGAAAGGGAAGAGCATTTGAAGCACTTACTGCAGAAGGTTAAAGACTACAACCTTCTATGTGGGTGACATTTCAACATAAAAAAAAACCAGCCTAAAATCCTCAGCACTGGACCAAAAGGCAACGCCACAACAGATGTAGAAAAGATTAAAGTTGTCAATGATTTAATTTTACTTGGATCCACAATCAACGTTCCTGCTAAAAGCAGTCAAGAAATAAAAACAAAAACCAACCTGTTGCATTGGGCGAATTTGTTCTCAAAGACCTCTCCAAAGTGCTAATGAGCTAGGATTTCAGTTTGAAGACTAAAGTGTGCCTGATTCAAGCTATTTTCTATCAGTTGCTTCTTGTGCATCCAAAAGCTAGACAAAGACTAAGAATGACAAAAGAAGAATCCATGCGTTTGAATTGTGGTGTTAGAGAAAAGTACTGCATAGCCCATGGCCTGCCAAAAGAACAAATCTTTGATGGAGGAAATGCAACTAGAGTCCTTTTTAGAAAAAAAGACGGTGAAGCTTCATCTCACATACTTTGGGCCTGTTGTCAGGAAGGGCCAGTCTTTGGAAAAAGACATTATGTTGGGAAAGGGAGAGGGTCAATGAAAGAGAAAGACACTCCAGGAGATAGATTGGCACAGTGACTACAACAGTGAGTTTAAGAATGACAGGAATTGTGATAACACATCTGTTGTTCACAGAGTTGCTATGATTTGTGGCTGACTGGAAGGCGTCTAACAACAGCCCCACCACCATATGAAACAATCTGTCTCCAATGATACAATTTGAAACTTTAGCTTTCTGAAGATCATCTAATGAGAGATTAATGCAAAAAAGGACTTTCATCCTTGTTTTCCTTTTTCTTTTTTAAGACATACAGAAAATGTCCTCTTTTGGTGTGACTTCTTAGCCCAAAGGTTCTTCATGCACTCACTCTCATTGCCGTCAAGTCATAACTGACTCATAATAGCTGGCCCTTAGTTGGTTTTTAAAAGCTATAAATCAAAAGGGAGGAGATTTCTTATTTTCTCCCATGGAACTTTTCCACTCTCCCAGAAGGAAATAGGGCAAACAAGTCTTTGGGTTAGTGGTTCAACTCCTGAGGGTCTAGACCACCTGAACTCCCTCAAAGGTATAGGATCTCATAAAGATACCCACTTTTGGTATTTCTATTATGGTAGCACTTTATAACTAAAATAACCTCAATTCAGAGTCCTTAATTTGACTTAATATCGAAAGTTTTGCCAGATAAGGTTACTTTTACAGATTCTGAACGTAACTTTGTCAAGGATATCATTCATACTACCAGGTGATAAGCCAAGGTGCTACAGATTATAGAGTAGAAAAGACAAAGAATTTGGAGATTTAATGGTAACACTGGAACCCTGCTCTAATCCTAGATAGCCATATCAATATTTTTTATAATAAATCTCGATTTGTTTAAGCCATGGTAAATAAGGTTTTTCCATTCTTTTCAGAGTTAGCCATAGTTTGTTATGATCCACACAGTGAAATGCCTTTGCATAATCAATGAAACAAAGATAGACATTCATCTGATATTCCCTGCTTTCAGCCATGATCCATCTAACATTAGCTACAATATCCCTAGTACCACAACCCTGTCTAAACTCAGCCTGCACTTCTGGTAGCTCTCTGTTGATGTGCTATTTCAGTCATTTTTGAATAATCCTCAGCAGAATCTTGAATGTGAAGAATGGGAATCCCAGAACACTTGATTGTGCTAATGCGAAAACTATAGTTGGACCAGGAGGCAGTCATCAGAACAGAGCAAGGGAACACTGCATGGTTCAAAATTGGGAAGGGTGTACAACAGGGCTGTATCCTGTCTCCAAACCTTTTCAATCTTTATGCAGAACAGATTATCCGGGAGGCTGAGCTCTAGAGGAGAAATGTGGCAACAGGATTGGAGGACGACTAACCAACAATCTGTGTTATGCAGATGACACAACCCTGCTTGCTGAAACTGAGGAGAATCTGAAGCACTTGCTGTGGAAGGTCAGGAACTGCAGTTTCAGTATGGATTGAGGCTCAATGTTAAGAAAACAAAGATTCTCACCACTGGGCCAATTGGCAGCATCATGATGGATGGTGAAGAGAATGAGGTTGTTCACACTTTTGGTTTGCTTGAATTGACAGTCAACACTCTTGGAAACAGCAGCCAGGAAATTAAAAGACGTATTGCAATGGGAAAGTCTGCAGTTAGAGACCTTTCTAAGGTACTGAAGTGCAGTGATATCAGTCTGGAGACTAAGGTGCGCCTGATCTGGGCCGTGGTCTTTGCAATCACTTGCTATGTAGCAGAGAGCTGGACAATGACTAGGGAGGATAGAAGGAGAATTGATGCCTTTGAGCTATGGTATTGGAGAAGAGTATTGAATATACCATGGGCTGCTAAGAAAACGAAAGGGTTGGTCCTAGAGAGGGTGAAGCCAGGCTGCACCTTGGAGGCAAGGATTCTGAAGCTTCGTCTGACATACTTTGGACACATTGCAAGGAGGGACCAATCCTTGGAGAAGAACATCATGCTTGGGAGGGTGAAAGGACAGCATGGGAGAGGAAGACCCTCTATGAGGTGGATTGATTCAGTGACTGGGGTAATGGTGGTAGGCATGTCAGAGACTGTGATATTGACACAGGATAGGACAGAGTTTAGGGCTGTTGTACATAGGGTCACTATGAGTCACAGGAGACTCGACAGCACATAACAACAATTAGTGAAATTTAAGTTATCCTGGCCACAACAGTTTGGTGTCTTTTGTGACTACTATTGTTGGGTAAGATACACACTTACCTTTGCTCTCAGAAGAGGCTGAAACCCATTCCAGAGGCAAAGGGTTCAACCAAGTGAGGGCCTGGTTGCTGGGGTCAAGCAGCAGAGGCCAACGGCAACTATGGTAGTGGGGATGACTTCGTAGAAGCACCCCAGCCAGCCGTGCCGACTTTGCCTCAGGCTTCGTGTCTCGGTCCCATTGGTATTGTTCACAGTCAGAGCTTAGCAAGCACAGCAGGCTGAAAGGAGAACGTGTGGCGAGCAGGGGATTCTCTGGTGTGGGGATGGAATTCTGCTTCTCCTTCAGGGCCTGTGCTACATCATCTGGGCCCAGGGGCTCCTGAAAGCCCCTGCACAGGGCTAGCCACTTGTCTAATAGCTCCTGCCGCCGTAGTGATGGGAAGGGACCCAGGTAGACAATGGCAGCTGAACACAGGAGGGCGTCTCCAAACACCGTCGTGCAGTGCTCCGTTAGCTTCTAGGGAGGAAGGGAAGACCGGGTGGTGTGCAAGCAAAGTGAACAGGGTAACAGCAGAGTCTGGCAGACGGGTAGGACATTGGGCTATGAGATGAATGAAGCAGGACAGCAAGGGTGTCGTGGACCAGTGAGATACAGTGAGTGCCCAGGAAGGAGCAGAGAAAGAGGGCGGGGGTAGAAATGAACTCCGGAGGGCAGTGTGGGAGAGGCATGGTTACCTGGAGCTTTGCAGACCAGGAATGCATGGGTGTGAGCAGTGCAGCCTTTATGGGCTTCCTGTGGTATTTGCCATCCTGTGCCTGAATGAGGCTCTCCGCCATACTTCTGAAGGAAGTTTGGGCATCCTTCATCTTTTTGGTCAGGTCTAGAGTGTGCTGCTGAGTCACATGAGCCTGGGATTGGTAGCGGCCCAGGCGGGCCTGCTCACGAACTAGTGTGGCCTCCACCTGCCGGAGCAGCAGTGCTGTGGGCCGACCCCGGCGCTGTGCCATCCCATAGTGTAGAACAGCCCAAAGCCAGACTGCCAGGCTTGCTGCAGGTGCACTGACTGTGCGCAGGGCTGCATCGCTCATTCCTGGACCCTTTAGAGCTATGCTTAGCTTTGTCAGCTCTGAGTCTGTCATCTTCTCCTTAGGGAAGAATACCAGCTCCTGGAAGCAATGTCCATCAAGGGGATGAGAAAAGAAATGCGTGCTCTGAACATTGGTCCAACAACTTAGCCCTGCCAGGTTTCGCCTCTCCCCCTCCTCTTTCCTTATTCCTCCATTGTGCCTACTTTCCCCCTACCTGATAAAAATCCTCAGTGCATAACAGCTGCTTGGCACTGGCCCAGCCTGGTTTACAGTGGAACAGGTCACACAGTGCATTGGTCACTCGGATCACAGGCTCTGGCGGTGCTCGGTAGCTCCGTAGCTCCTCAAAGTCAGCCACCTGCAGCTGGCTTAGAGGTCCCATAAACACCTTGCCCATCTGAATGAAGAGAGATATACTGTGAGGTGAGCTTCCAGACAAAGGTGTTTCTGGGCAGGATCATCTCCTCCCAGGAGCCCCCATGAAGGGCCACTTGTCAAGACATCACATGCTCCTCTGCCTTCTCCTCCCCAGCAGACTCTATGAGGTATCATCTCATCCTTCCTTCAGACAGCCCAGCAGCCAGCAGCAGGAGCCCACCTGCTCCAGGAAAGCCTGATGCTGAGCCTGCAGTGCATCCCGCTGCTTGACCAGCTTCTCAAGAAGCTTCTCCTGCTGCTGACATTCTGCCAGCTGCTGCTGGTAAAGGACCCTGTCTTGTCCTAGCTGTTGCTGGAGTCCAATGAGGCTCTGTGAACAGAGATTTGGATCCTGGGACAAAGGAACATCTGAGTGGAAGACACCACGGGCTTGGGACTCTAGCATACTCTTCCCTTGGCAGGCAGGGTAACCAAGTTGGACTCCAAGGAGGTCACAAATACAGTTTGAGCCCTGAAACTGTCAGTTTCCTCGCCTCTGAGCTATAGATCTACTAATACCTCAAGTTAGTAGATGCTTTTCCTGCAGCTTCTTTGCCATCATGTGGGCCCAGGCAATATGTGGGCTTAAGTACTCCTAGTTTTAGCTGGCTTTTTAGAGACATTTGCCACAGAAGATAAGTCCTTCATTCCTGAAGCATTCTCCTTCCCTGGCTTTCATGATACAGCACTATCTGTACTGGACTTCCTCCAATTAGCTCTGTTCTTCCTTTTCTGTCCTTTAAATAGTCCTTAGCTAATTTTTTTTTCAGGGTCTCTCATCACTCTTCAGTTCCGCATACCCTCCTTAATCTCATAGCTTTGAGTTCCACTTACATTCTAAACACGACTGCCCCTTTGGGTTAACAGCACAGCTTCCTATGAATTAATGCACCAGAATTCCCTAAAGGGAAAATAGGACAACTTCAAAAGCAGGTACTGAAGAGGAGAAAAGAAAAGGAAAAGTCGGTTGCTGAGAAATGCCTAGTTGAGACAAAGGACTGAGGAAATTCTAGACATGGTTTGTTGTTGTTGTTATGTGCCGACGAGTCATTTGCGACTCATAGCAATCCTATGTACAACAGCCCTAAACCCTGCTCTATCCTGTGCCAGTCGCACTGCCTCTGACACACCCATCCTGATTACCCCAGTCACTGAATCAATCCATCTCATAGAGGGTCTTCCCCTCTTGCGCCGTCCTGCCACCCTCCCAAGCATGATGTCCCTCTCCAAGGATCTGTCCCTCCTCGCAACATGCCCAAAGTATGTCAGATGAAGCCCCAGAATCTTTGCCTCCAAGGAGTAGCTTGGTTTAACCCTCTCCAGGATGAATCTGTTTGTTTTCTTGGCAGTCCATGGTACATTCAATACTCTTCTCCAGCACCACAGCTCAAAAGCATCAATTCTCCTTCTGTCCTCTCTAGTCATTGTCCAACTCTCTGATGCATAACAAGTGATTGCAAAGACCATGGCCTGTATCAGGCGCACCTTAGTCTCCAGAGAGACACTGTTGCTCTTCAGTACTTTGGAGAGGTCCCTAACAGCAGACTTTCCCATTGCAATCAGTTTTTTATTTCCTGGCTGCTGATGCCAAGAGTGTTGACTGTGGAGCCGAGCAAACTGAAGCTGTGAACAATCTCAATCTCTTCGCCATCCATCCTGACGCTATCGATTGGTCCAGTGGTGAGAATCTTTTGTCTTCTTGACATTGAGCCTCAGTCCATACTGAAGGCTGCAGTCCTTGACCCTCTGCAGCAAGTGCATGAGGTCCTCCTCAGTTTCAGCAAGCAGGGTTGTAGCATCTGCATAACGCAGATTGTTAATAGATCTTCCACCAATCCTGACACCACACTTCTCCTCATAGAGTCCAGCCTCCCGTATACTCTGCTCTGCATACAGGTTGAAAAGGTATAGAGACAGGACAAATCCCTGGGGTACACCCTTCCCAATTTTGAACCAGGCAGTGTTACCCTGCTCTGTTCTGATGACTGCCTCTTGGTCCAAGTATAGGTTTTGCATTAGCACGATTAAATGTTCTGGGATTCCCATTCTTCTCAGAGTCAGCCACAATTTATTATGATCCACACAGTCAAACGCCTTTGCATAATCAATGAAACACAGATAGACATTCTTCTGGTATTCCCTGCTTTCAGCTAAGATCCATCTAACATTAGCTACAATATCCCTAGTATCACGACCCCTTCTAAACCCAGCCTGGACTTCTGGCAATTCTCTGCTGATGTGGTAGTATGCCTTTTTTTGTTTGTTTGTTTTTTATTTTTTAATTTTTTGTTTGTTTTTGGTAGTATGCCTTTTAAATCTACCTTTTGATCTGTTGGTTAAATTGACCTATTGGGTAAATTATCTCTAACTGCCATGACTCATCCACATTTCTTCATTATACAGAACCATCTTATGTTTCTCCTGGGTTTGTGGAAGGAGGAGTGGAGTGGCAAAGCCATATGGATAAAGAACATGACTTTAAGAGGGAACCAACATTGTCAGAGAGATAAATATGAAAGGGGACCTTGAGAATGCCATTGCTGCTCCCTCCTTTATGGAATCTTGGGGAGCATACTGAATTGCAGAGTCAAGGCACTTAGGAACAGTCAGGAGCATGCACTTAGATCTTGTGTGTTTAAATAAGAATCAGTCTAGTCCCAGCTCTGCCATGGGGAACTTTTGAGGTTGAGCTTAAAAGTAGGAGGCAGTGAGAATGCACATGTCCCTGGGGAAAGGGTTCTCTAGGGAGACAAGACCCTAGGTTCAGTCTGATTGGTTCTTCCCATCCGAGCTTTTATTTGACTCCACTCTGTCTGTATGCATAATCTTCTAACCTTGCGGGAGCTTTCCAGCTGCTGTTCTAAACTGAAGACCTGGTCGGCGAAGGCACTGTGCTGGTCAGTCAGCATTTTCAGATTGTCCAGGGCATTCTGGATCCTAGAGAAACACTGTGTCAATGAGTGGACCCCCAGGAGCAGAAAGGACATTGTAGGGAATGAGGCTACTCACCGCTGGGCTTTGTTCCTTGTCTGAAGAACCATCCGGCGCTGCAGCAGCAGGAAAGTGCCCATGAAGTCTAGGAAAGTCTTAGGTGTGACAAGTGGCAGTGCAGGGCACAGGTGCTCAATGTAGCTGGCAGCCGAAAGATGAATGAGAGCCATGGCTTTGGACACATTGGTAATGGAGGCCTTGAGTTCTGGGCACTTCAAAGGGCCTGCAGAAAGTATGGCCTCAGCCTGGCTTTATAGTTTAGAAGGGAATGGGAAAAGGAAGGCACCCTCTGCTAGCTTAGGAAGTAGAACAGAAAGAGTGCGGGGAGCTCACTGGGTTCTACAGAGTAAGTCTGGCTCAGGCAATCCCTCTCATCAGAACAGGTAAGGGGGGCTCACCGTCACCAATGGGTAGATTCGGAGCCCCCTCCAGGTGGTGTTGGGCCACACTGACCAGGTCAGATTGGTCCCAAGGTTCATAGTGATCGATGCTGGCAATAGTCAGTAGGAGGAGGCGTGCAAACAGGTTGGAAGGCAGCCGGGTACCGGCCTGGTTGTGTCTCACCAAGAAGAACAGGTGCACGTGGCTGCACACTTGCTGGTAGAACCTGTGGGCCAGAGACTCAGATGCTGTTTGCCCCTTTCCCCATCTCCTTACTAGGTCCTGGGTAGAGACATAACTGAACTCCATGGTCCCTTAGACTTAATCCTCTGTACCCTGACAGTAGCCCCTAGCTTTCCTATGGCCTCTGGGCACAATAGAATAAAAGAAGTCAGAGCCTAGGACAACAGTCCTGGCCTTACCTTTGAAACACTATTTCCTTTTTGACACTGAGGTTCTCTTTAGGAAGATGTTTCTCAAGGTTTTCTAGATCTGCCTCTGTGTACTGGTCAGGGAAAGTGCCGGAGGTTGCCAGGGCCAGCAGACGATGAAAGGTAGTGAGACCCACATTCTCAGGCACCAACAGGGCCACCTGCTGGCCTAATATGCCAGCATGCCAGCTGACATCTTGTAGACACCGGAGAGTAGCTTCCTCTGATCCAGAGGGCAGGTGAAAGAGTTGGGTCTGGCAAACATTAGCTGCCAAAGTGACCGCAGTACGGCGCCCAGTACTCAGAGCTGTGGCCATCAGCAGGCCATGCTGACAGGGCCTGGCCAACACCCGCACCAGGCGGGCTACATGCTGGGTCGTGGAGCGGCAGAGAGCAAGCTGGGGCCTCATCTTCAGCTGAGCAGCAGAGGTGACTAGCTGCTCCTCCAAGCTTTCCCACTGTCGCTCCACATACATGTTAGGGAGCTCCGAACTGGACTCCAGTATCAGCTCCCAACTGAAGATCAGGTCTGAGGGCTTTTCCTGGGGGAGGAGTAACAGCATTGGGAGCAACAGGGGAGTGACAACATCTGTCCGGACTGTCTTCTGCCACCAACTCTTAGATCTATTTATTTGGAGCTTGAAACTTGAGATACTTGCTGTATCTTCCTCTTGGCTTGCCAGCCCACTTGTGCCCTCCATGTTCTCCTTATCTACTGGTCTCGTGCACGTTGTTAGACCTGGATTGCTGGTGTATAGGCCTGTGGGAAGCTGAGAGGCATAAGGATCCCCTTCCTCCTCTGAATCACTGTCATTGTTGCTTAAGTCCTCCCACTGGGCCAACTCCCCTTCAGATTCCACTTCAGACACCTTTTCCTCCTTCTCTTCATCTTCACAGCTTTTGCCTAGGTCCTGAGGCCCTGACTTCGAAGACAAGACACTTTGAGCTACTTCTAAGAGCAGCTCGGCACAGTGGGAACGCTCTTTAGGACTGTCCAGTCGGTCACAAAAGGTCCTCTGTGCCTCATGCAACCAAAGACGCACAATGTTGCGTGTGGCCATCATAGTGGTCAGACGGGTGCCACGTAAGCCTGACACCCGGCGCAAGTGCTCCTGGTGGTTGAGAGCGTCCACACCGCCTCGCGAGCCCACTCTGTTTGGCAGCACCTGCAGACTGCTCAGTAAGTGACTCACAGAGTGCAGGGAGAAGCGGTAATGAGGGTGGAGGGGGGAAGGCATGAAGCAGCTGCACACAGCTTCCCAGGCAGCCACTGAGGCCTGGACCAGGAATTCTGCCAAAAGCCCCTCCTGCTCCAGTGCCGGGAAGCGTTCAAGCCAGGCCTGGATGCTAGGGGTGTGCCTGCTCAGCAGGGTCGCCGGGGTCATACTGCCCAGGGCCAGCACCGTGAAGAGTCGAAAGAAGCGTGGGCACAGCGGGCGCTCGCAGTAGCCTGGCACGGTGGCAGTAGCAAGGAAGTTGACTGTAGGCTGCAGCGCCTGCAGCTCCAGGGTGCTATGGACATACATGGTGCCGTGCATGGCCTGGCGCAGAGCTTCCAATACCGGCTGACAGCTATTGTCTGGGTCTGTGGGACAAGAACAATAACAGCGTACATGTGAGTGAGAATGTCACCCCGTCCCTCCTTTCCTCTGTCTCACTAACTCTGCTTCCAGCACATCTATGGTCCTAAAGGATTTAGTGCGTTTGATGTGTTGTGCGCTTTGGTCATGTTTGAAAGCTCTCTTTCCTCTATGTATGTGTGTTTGTGGGTGTGTTTGTGTAGTATTGAGTCTAAACCGACCCATAGCTGACCCTCCCAGCAGGCTTTCAGAGGCAGTTAATTGCACAGGAGGAGATTGCCCATCTTCTCCTGCCAGGCAGCTGGTGGCTTTGAACCACATGCCTTTGGGATTGCAGCACAACTTCTTGCCATTAGGCCACCTGAGCACTAAGCTCACTGCTCAGCATCACAGTAATATGCAAGCTTCCACTGGTAGATGGGTGGTAGTTTGATTTCTACCTAACAGCAAGCACTTCTCTCTTCCCCAAATTCTGCCTCCGTGACCAATTAATAATTCATTAACAGGGGCTAATGACTATGAAGGCTTGGGAGCTGAGATAGATGGAAACCACATCGCATCATAATAGAGGGGGAAATGCAATTATCCTACTTAAGGAGAATTTTTATCACATGTTATGCTCTTTGTAAAAAAAAAAAATCTATTTAATTAAAACAGGATTTTCCTAAAATGTACACATCTACTGTGTGCAGTTCAAGAACTTTTGACAACATATGCACTAGTGTATCTACGACTTCAGTTAGACTGAGAACATTTCTTCACACCTCTTATACAATCTAGTCTCCTTAGCCCCATCACCCAGGCAAACACCGACACCTATTCCCAATTGGGGAGACCTGCTGCAAAATATGTCACCTTGAATATTAAGGTACATCTTCCCAAACCTAAGTCTTTTCAATGACCTGGCCTAGGGGCAAGAAGCTGCGCTGTAATCCTGAAAGGCACGTGTTTCAAGGTCACCAGTTGCTCCACAGGAGAAGGGTGGGCAATCTCCTTCCATTCGATTAACTGCCTTTGAAAAACCACTGGAAGGTCAGCTGTGGGTTGGTTCAGAGTCTATGGTACACAACAAGAATAATATGCATCTAAAAGCTGGAATGTGTATAAGGAAGAGTAAAAAAGAACTGATGCCTTTGAACATTGGTGCTGCTGAAGAATATTGAGCATATGCTATTAAAGGAGCAAACGAACGGGTCGAAGACATATAGCCAGATGTTCCTTAGACACAAGAATGGTGAGGCTTTGTCTCAGGTACTTTGAACAGTTCTCAAGGAGCCTAGTCCTGGAGGAAGACGTCGTGCTTAGGAAAATTGAGGGTCAGTGAGAAAGAGGAATACCCTCACCAAAATGGGTTGACCCAGTGACTACAGTGATGAGTTCAAGCATAGCAATGCTTGTGAAGATGGTGCAGGGCCAGGAAGTGCTGCATCCTGTTGGAGAAGGGTGACTTGGCAACACCTGTTCTAGAACTTTGTAGTAACAAAATCATGCAGTACTGTCCTTTGCTGTGTCTACCTTTTTTCACTCAGCATAGTCCTGAGAGGTTCAACCACACTGTTGAACATAGTAGCAGTTCTGTTTTGTTGTTGGTTTGTATTCTATTATGAAAATATCACAGTTTGTAGGCCAACTGACTTAAGAATGGAAATATGTGAGGTTTCCAGGTTTTGGCAAATCTAAATAATGTTTCCATGAATATTTATGTATATATTTATGTAAGGGCATATATTTTTTTCCTCTACACTTGATGGGTCATATTATATGTTTAATTTGATGAGAAACTGCCACAGGTTGGTTCCCCACCACCACCACCACCATATTGGTTCTACCTTTTTATACTTCCAGCAGCAAAAAGTGAATTTCAGATTCTCTACATCTTTGCAAATACTTGTGTTGTCAGCCTTTTTGGTTATCCATTCTTAGGGATACAATATGTTCTATTTCAAGGTGCTTATAATTAGCAATTCTGTGTTTTTAGTATTTCCATCAAAAGATAAATATAAAAACATCTCATCTATGAGATATCATCTCACCCCAGTTAGAATAGCAAAATTTAACAGAACAACAAACATCAAATGCTGGTGAGGTTGCTGAGAAACTGAAACTCTTATTCACTGTTGTTGGGAGTGCAAAATGGTGCAACTACTATGGAAGGCTGTATGGTGCTTTCTTAAAAAGTTGCAAATAGAAATACCATTTGACCCGGGAATTCCACTACTGGGAATATACCCTAAAGAAACCATAACCGCCACCCAAGCAGATATATGCACACCCATGTTTATCGTGGCTTTGTTCACAATAGCAAAGAGTTGGAAACAGCCCAAGTGCCCATGAACAAACAAATGGATAGAGAAGCTGTGGTATATTCACACAATGGAATAAATACTATGCTGCATTGGAAAACAAGGAACTCATGCAATATTATTCAAAATGGGTGACCCTGGAGGACATTATGCTGAGTGAAATATCTCAGTCACAAAAGGACAAATATTGCATAGTTCCACTGCTGTAAAACAGGACTGACATCAGGGTTGGGGGGAGACTGAGAAAGATAGGATAAATTATGTACACTGCATTGAAACAGATGAGGGAGAGAACTGTTTAAAAGGGATATATGATTAGGGATTATTGTCATGACAGGAGTCCAAAATGAAGGCTGCACAGTGGAGTGGACTTGGGGAAAGGGGTTGTATAACAATGAAAGAATTTTTCTTCTACTTTTCAAAGAGAAGAGCAAATTTGGTAGGGGGGATGGGCAGGGAGAAAAGTGCAACAATGAATGAATGGAAATCCAAAGTATCTAAACTCTTCTTAAAATTAATTTAAAAAAAAGAAGAAAATAAAAATAAATTTTACTTATTAATGGGGGGAAAATATCAATTTTACTAGGTTTTTATGAGTAAAGATGATATAGCTGTAGAATGTAGTACATAGTAGCCATTCAGTAAATTATACCTGCTATTAATAAGTACTTTTGCCACTTGGCCCAAATTTTCTATATCCCATAAGAAATGTAAGTGTCTGACTGATCACCTATCCCATCCAATATTTTAGTCTGCAAACTTCTTTGATTCCAACAACCTGTACCTCGTCTTCACTTCCACTGCCCATCCCATGGCCACATCTAAACTTGCATCATCTGAAGGTGCACTAGTTTATGAAATTTAAACTTAGGTTTTCTAAGATAACATCACAATTTCTCTCCTTTCCTTTCTTGTTCCTTTTTCAAATTCTTATTGAGCATCTAATTCCTGCTTGAGTCTGTCAAAATAGATGAGACATCCCTGTTCTCAAGAATCCGAGGGTGGCACAAAATAGTTAGGCACTTGACTACTAGCTTAAATATTGGTGATTTATATCCACCCAGGCATGCCTTTAGACACAAATATTACAATCTGTTTTGAAAAGCTCACACACTTGAAAACTTCGTGAAGAAATTCTACTCCATATATGTGGAGTCAAAACCAGCTCTGTAATACCTAATAATAATCCCTGTCCTCACAAAGCTCAGAGTGTGAAGGAAAGTTCAGAGAAGTAAACATACAATTACAAAATTATAGTTATCACAGATTAATATACAGACACAGCATAGGTATCTAACCTCACCTGGAGGTCATTCTTTCTAAAGGAAAGATTTCCTGAGATACCTGGAAATAAGGAAGACATAGAGACAGATAAACAGAAGAAAAAGGAAAGAAATGGCAGAAAGGAAGCTTGTCTCTTTGGATATTTGCTGGTATTTGAATAGAGCTAGAGAGTGTAAATGGCTATAAAAGAAAGCTTCATAAAAAAGAACCTCCAGGAACATTTAACAGATTCCAGGTAAAGTCCAATTTGTGAAGATATTAGTAGGCAAATGTTATGCTCTCTTTGAAGAATTCCTACCCCTGAACTTGGGAGCTAGAGTCAATGTTGTAGATGCTGAGATACTCTGAGAAGTGTGCACCAAATATATCTATGTTAACAGTCCAGCTATGGCTGATGTTGGTCCCACTAGCAGATTTTAACAGGATTCGAAGTAACATGTTCCAGCTTTATGATTAAAGTTGTCTAGTTCAGACATCTCAGCACATATATCTTAAAACTTACAGAGACCAGTAAGGTTTATGTTGAATTTTCTTAAAAGGAAAAAAATAAACATTAATATGTCTTGATAGGGAAAAAATCAGGTAAGTGTTGTGCAAACCACGGAATATGGAATGGAAATAAGCAGAAAGATTCAAGGAATGCAAAATGCATGATACAAAATCAGGAGATAAAGTGACTGAGCCTCCTGCGTATTTCAAGGAGGGAGGTCGATCTCTTTTGGAATGTAACTTTCTAATAAATCTATCTTTACTATTTTACCCTGGGGGAAAAAAGAGAGAGAGATAAGGTGACCAGATATTGGTGAGAGATGGGGAGATGCCAATAAGCTTTCAAGCTTAAGTAGTTTTTTGAATGGTGATCCCAGTTACTAAGAGGACACAGGGACAGATTTTGGTGGGAAGATGGGGAGTTCAGAGCTGGGTCAGTGGTGACAATGGGACTAGATGGAGATGCACATTAGATGAGTAGAAAAGCCAATCTGGTGCTTGGAAGAGTAACATAGAGATAGTAGAAGCAGCCATGAGATGATGTCATTGCTCAGGGCACATATACAGAATGAGAGAAGTTTGGTCTGGTGTTCTATCTGAAGACTTTTACAATTTCAAGAGAAAACAGCAAATCTTTCCTTCTTTTCTCCAGCATCTCACCAGAAGCGGCCAGGTGTAGATCCTCCAGCAGGAAGAGGAGGGTGCCTTTAGAATCCTGGTGATGTCCAGGCTGTGGACTGGATTGTGCTTGACCCTGGACCACTTGGCTGAGCAGGAGGCGAAGGTGGGTGGAACCGAAGGCGGGGTGGATGGGGACGCATGTGTAGGGGTGTTTTGGCTGCACGAGGACCTCCACGAAGGCTGACTTCCCTGATGCTGCCTCTCCAGCCAGCAGCACTGGCTGTCCCCTTGATAGAAGCAGGTCTACCACATAGAAGAGTCGTTCAATCTGTAGGACAGGAGCAGAGTTTACTTTGACAGGTCCAGTTTAGGGCAATAGCTGAAAGTAAAGATCTAGATTTGTCTTAAAGTTGTGCTTGCAGAATACTCTGTATGATTGTGAAAACCCTTCGAAGAATGGGAGCAGGTGAGCCTCAGACAGCCCAGAACATGGGCTTTTCTGGAAATATCTCCTGCAGCCCCAACTCCAGCTACTTCCCCACTTAACTCATACCTGAGGGGAAGGGTTGAAGGTGCCCAGGTTTCCTTTGATGCAGCTGCCCAAGTACTGGCCAGTGAAAGGGACCAGTGTTCCATCTTCAGGGCACACATGTAGATCAAACAGCAAGACTGATGGTGGTAGCTCAGGGTAATTGGAGAGGCGATTTATAGAAGCCCTCATGAAGGTGTCAAAGAGGGGCCAGAGCCTACTCAGGTGGACACATAGGCAAAAACATCAGTTATAGTCAATCCATTTTTGATACACTCATCCACTGCAGTGTACCCCAACAGCAGTGCCACCTTCTCATCCCTCGGCATCCCCCCAGCCTCTAGCCCTGTAGTCACCTGAAGGGAAGGAAGGCTCCAAAACTCCAGATCACAGCAAAAAGAAAGCTGCTGACAGCCAGGAGGTGCTCCCTGGGGTTATTGTGCACCTCCTCTGTGTTGGTCTGGGACCCTTTGTTCAGAGAGCTGCTTTTTGAGGACTTGAAGCTCTGGTTCACTGGTTCACTACTGCTGTAGACTTCTGCAAGCCACCATAACCAGAAGAGGAGAGAGAGA